CAACCACCGGATAACCAGTGTGATATTTGTTAGGACACAATATGCAATTGCAGCACAATCCGAGCATATCAGGAAGTTGATGAGGAAACACCCTCCATAAGCATAATACTTCTGTGCAATCCTCTTTTAGAATTTGTAGATCCAATATCCGGCTAGCTACCAAGTGTTATCATCATTTCGAGCAGTGACAAGAGTGTTGTGTGTCAAAAATAAAATTCACTTGATAAGAACATAAAGTATATCCAAGTATAACCCTCCTTTTTCCAAGAGGGTGCGGTTTTAACTAAAGAGAAAATAAAAGTAAATCAAATTGCGTAAGTCAAGGGGGGGGGGGGGGGTCGGTTACTCCCTATATCGGGGCCCCTCAGCCTATTTTGAAGTATTTTATTGTTTTCGTATTGTAAATATTGTATTCCCGAGAACTTTTACCAGTTCAAGATCACATTCAGTGATTTCTGGACCTTTTCAAGGTGTTTTAATTGAAATAGAATCAATTTATAAGAAATTCAGATTTTTTTCAATCATTTTCTTCTAAGGGGAGCGAGGGGGCAGCAAGGAATGTTTTACTAATTCAAGATGCTGTCTGGTTGATTCTGAGCACTTATAATGTGTTTGAGTAAATTAATGCTTTAGTTTGTGGGGCGGAGTGCCACTGGTGACTTCTAGGCACTTTCAAAGTATTTAAAATTAACAAATGCAACTTCCAAACTTGTATGTAGGAGTGACCCACTCCCCTAGAAAATTCTACACTTTTGAGATGCTATTTGCATGCTTTCTGAGCACTTTTAAAGTGAATGAGTCAATAAAAAATGTGATTTTTTTCAAATCCTTTTTGGGGGTGTCAAAGAGAACGAGAGGGTGCAGTACTAGAAAAATTTTACAATTTTAAGATGCGATTTGGTGCTTTCTGGGCACTTTCTAAGTGTATGACTCAATAAAAAATTTGAAAAAATCACAATATTTTGTGGGATGTCAAAGGGGAAAGGGTTGCCAAAGGGGGAGGGGGTGCCAGAGGGGGATGCAAGAGGGCGAGTAAGTGTTAGTCTCCCAGAATCATTGACTATATCTAGGAGCTATTTGATGATGTCTGGGCACTTTACATGTGTCTGAGACGATACATAATTTCAGAACTTTTCAATTGTTTTGTTTTGGGTGTGAGGAGTGGCCCACTCCCCCTAGAAAATTTTACAATCTTAAAACGCTATTTGGTGCTGTCTGGGCACTTCTAAGTCAATTAAAAGATTGAGAAAATCACAATTTTTTGAATTTTTTGGAGGGGAGTCAAGGGGGGGGGATGCCAAAGGGGGAGGTGGGGTGGGGATCCTGAAGGGGAGCAACTGTTAGTGCCCCAGAAACAATGACTATATCAAGGAGCTATGTGATGATGTCTGGGCACTTGGGCACTTTTAAAGTGACTGTGACAATACATAAAATAAATTCAGAACTTTTCCATTGTATTGAGGGGATGTGAGGGGTGGCCCACTCCCTCTATAAAATTTTACAATTTCAAGATGCTATTTGGTGCTTTCTGGGCACTCTAAAGTGTATGAGACAATGAAAAAAAATTACAAAAAAAATATTTGTCAACATATTTTTTCAATTTTTTTTTGGGGGGGGGGTGTCAAGGGGGGATGCGGTCGCACCCATCGCACCCCCCCCATCTGACGGCCCTGATAACTCATTTCGCGCGCATTATCATTTGCACAACTGAGCACCATTTTCTAAGATAGCGAAAACGAGTGATACTCAAGGAATTTTTTTTAGCAAATAAGCGGAAAGCGTTTCAACAAGCAAAACATGCAAGGGATTCCTCCACAGAGAAGATGTTAGTGAAAAGGACAAAAATATAAATTTAAAACTGAGTTGATAGTTGATTGAAATCAAGATTTATCAGTGCAAGCACCAGTGAAAAGCGGAAAGCGTTTCAATCTATTGAGAATCGTTCAAAATTCGGATAGAAAAACATTTTCAGTTTTAAAAGGGACATACGGAGCCATATCGTGGTATATTGGGTAAGGTAGAGGAATTTCAATATTTCCCCATTGTATTAATTAGAGCATTTGTCTGTGGAATTAAACCTAGCTAACCTGTTCATGTAGCATTCATTAACAATGGTCACGTGATGTCTACACTTTGCGAAACGTCACGTATTGAAAAGCATATCACTCTGCAATAAAAACAGATTTTGCTCGGGGTATACACCGTGTATCATGATCACTACATCTTTTTAAGCAATAAAAATTTCAAAACAGAATAGTTATCATTTATGCTGCATCGTTATTGGGGTATGCGTCGTATTTTCTAAAACAGTTTAACATATTTAACGAATGTGAGCATTACACCGAATCGAACCGAGAAACAGTGCATATGTCAGATGAATTAGCAACATGTAAGTATAAGTAATCGACTAGATCAGATTTTCAGACACCACACAAATGAGATAAAGCAATACTATTTAATTGTTAAGAGCATTAAACAGAAAATTACTTTAATCTCAAAATAACCGGATATCAATTCGTAAAATTGCAATATGGAGCAATATTATGTGTAATTTCTGCAGCATACTTATCGATATTGCATAGGTTTATTTGATATAAAAGAAAGGTTAAGTTATACGCATTTGGGTGAACTTGAACGTAAATGTGTAATATTCTGACCCCCGGGAATTGTTGTTAGGAATTCTTACTGGATATAGTAGAAAGGTAAGTTATTTGCATTTGGGTGAACTCGAACGTTAATGTGTAATATTATGACCGCCAGGAATTGTTGTTAGGAATTGTTACTGGATATAGTAGAAAGGTAAGTTATTTGCATTTGGGTGAACTTGAACGTAAACGTGTTATATTATGACCCCCAGGAATTGTTGTTAGGAATTGTTACTGGATATAATAGAAATGTAAGTTATTTGCATTTTGGTGAACTTGAACGTAAATGTGTTATATTCTGACCCCCGGGAATTGTTGTTAGGAATTGTTACTGGATACAGTAGAAAGGTAAGTTATTTGCATTTGGGTGAACTCGAACGTTAATGTGTAATATTATGACCGCCAGGAATTGTTGTTAGGAATTGTTACTGGATATAGTAGAAAGGTAAGTTATTTGCATTTGGGTGAACTTGAACGTAAAGGTGTTATATTATGACCCCCAGGAATTGTTGTTAGGAATTGTTACTGGATATGATAGAAAGCATTTCATCTTTAACTGGCAGCGCCTTTCTACAAGACGACATGAGTTTATTGAGTCCCTTGAGCAGCATAACCTTGAGAACCTGTTACCCCGGAGACAAGAGGATAGAATTAAGGCATTAGTGTTTGAAAACAACCTGTCATTAGAAAAAGATTGTATTTTAAAGAAAAAATTCATCAATTTTATAATGCATCAAGAAACTTAAAGTGCTTCTGTCTTGGGTAGAATGTGGCAAACTCCAGGATAAATTATGCAATTAAGCACACACATCTATATTTTATTTTATGATATTTTACTAAAGATGAAATTAATAAATGCTAGCCAGTAATGCAATTGGCGCTTGGCAGCATATTTTTGTATTATTGTATATGAATTTGTTGAATAAAGACAACTAAAACAGAATGATAGAAAGGTAAGTTATTTGCATTTGGGTGAACTTGAACGTAAACGTGTTATATTATGACCCCCAGGAATTGTTGTTAGGAATTGCTACTGGATATAATAGAAAGGTAAGTAAATGCATTTTGGTGAACTTGAACGTAAATGTGTTATATTCTGACCCCCGGGAATTGTTGTTAGGAATTGTTACTGGATATAGTAGAAAGGTAAGTTAAATGCATTTGGGTGAACTTGAACGTAAACGTGTTATATTATGACCCCCAGGAATTGTTGATAGGAATTGTTACTGGATATGATAGAAAGGTAAGTTATTTGCATTTGGGTGAACTTGAACGTAAACGTGTTATATTTTGACCCCAGGAGTCGCCTCTCAGTTGGTTTAAAGGGGAACCAATTACAACTGTTTCCCTCACACCTTTGGGTGTCGACCTTTGGCTTGCGACCGAAGATACCTCAGGAAAAGCCGGATACTGTCGAAGATTTTCTTTGCAAACGAAGTTGGCCGAGGGTACCATGAATGTGAAAAGGAAGTCTCTAATTGGATCAAAAAAGAGAGGCTCGCCATTCTCCGTCAGATTGAATCGGCAAAATTCGGTTGTATGGCTTACTTTCGGCTGCATGGCCCAACCTCGATTGAATGGCCCAACCTCGATTGAATGGAAAAGATGCTGTCCCCACACCTTTACTCCATCGGGCAATGAATGAAGGCCAGTGAGAGATGAAAATACGTCCAAAGGGCACCATCATTTTACAAGTTTCGCGTACATGTTCTTCAAAACAGGGCTAACTTAACCTCCCTACTAAACTGGAAAATGTGAAATATGCGATTATATTCTTTAAGAATACACTTAATAATCATACACTAAATACAATATTCGTGGGTCAAGCTACTATGTATGATTAAACTGTATTGTCCCGTTTCGGGGGTTGGCATTGGCGTCAGAAGGGGGAGGGCGTTGGGGGCGACCGCCCCCCCCCCTTTCCCAGAAACCGAGCCTCGAATTGAAAGCTCTTTAAAGCTAATTAAAGTCAAAATGATACTTTGTCGTAATCTAGTTTACATCAAGCATAGAAGATCTCATTTCTCATATTATACTTAATTCTATACCATAGTTTCTCAGAAACCCATGTAAATACTTTGAAGAATAAGTGCAAAATGTATATTTTAGTGAAATTCAAAGTTTTTTAGAGTCAAAGTCAAGCTAGTTTCCTAAAAACACTTTTTCTTGTTTTTGTTTTTGGGAACGTTGTGCTGAGATATGTTCAGAATGCACAAGAGAAGGTCTAAATTTGAAAATTTTTCTGGGGGCATGCCCCCCATATCCAAAAGTCGCCCCCTCCCTTGGCAAATCCTTCTGACGCCCCTGGTTGGGCATATTTCTAAAATACTTATGGTCATTCTTTTTCAATTTTAGGTCTAACCTTATGAGAGCGATCAAACTGACACAGTCACAGAAGAAAATTGAGCTCGTTCGCATAGAAATCCCGAGAATAGTCAAACCAAATGATGTTCTCTTGAAGATACCGTGCGCCGGAATCTGTGGCTCTGATATACACTTCATCAAAAATACATTTATCATTAAAGATAATGTTGTCCTCGGTCATGAGTTTTCTGGAACTGTCGTAGAGATTGGATCTGATGTGACGAATGTTAAAGTCGGAGACCGCGTCTCGGCAGCTGCGTCGTGCCATTGTCATCATTGTCGATTCTGTCATCTAGGAAAGGCAAATTTATGTGTCAAAGGCGGTGTTTCTTATTACAACGGTTTCCATAGAGATGGCGCTTGGGCAGATTATTGCCTTGTACAAAGCTCTCAATTGTTCAAGTTATCCGATGAGATCGACTTTGAAACATCTATTTTGACAGAACCATTGTCGTGTGTCGTTCACAGCTTCTCCAACTACAGCCCTCTCGCCGATTCTGCGTCCATTTTGATTGCTGGCAGCGGTATCATCGGGCTATTAAAAGCGTCTATGTTACACTATAAGGGATTTCGTGACATCACAATATGTGAGCCTATAGAATGTCGACGAGAAATCGCTAAAAATCTCCAGCTTAGTGGGCTCCAAGTTATGAAACCAAGCGAAGTAATTGAAAAGTTCAAAGGCCTCGAAACGTCACTCGTCGGTTATGATCTGATCTTCGACTGCACTGGATCACCTGAAGCATTTGAGGACTACTTCCCACTCTTGCGTAAAAGCGCCACCTATTTGATGTTTGGACTTTTTCCTCCGGGAACAAAATCCTCGATATCCCCGTGTGACTTTTTCAATAAAGAGGTGAAGATTTTGAGTTCATCTGGAGAGTGCAATAAACACATGGATGCTTTATCGTTGGTCAAGAACATGGCGATTGATGGGAAACTTGATTTGAAAAGGTTAGGCGTGAAATTGTATCCTCTAGAGGATTACAAAACAGCCCTGAAAGACTTGGAAGATGGCGTCATCTCAAAAGCAATGCTAACATTATAGATGGCACAGTGGCAGTGCATATTTCCGTACGACTCTATAAAAGAAGGGAAGGCCCCGAAGCTCAGAGATGACCCCATAATTACCTCTCTTGTCTACCACATTCGTTTGTCCGAATTTCCGCCATCTAGTTTCTTGATAACACACGTCGATGTAAGATAAGATAAGTTTATTGTTCTTTATAGTGGTAGGTTACACAAATCAACCCAGCCCACCTGGGCTTATCAACCACTTAACAAGTTTAAACATTTTAAATTATACAATTAGTGAAATAAATATCAATCTGTGTCATACATATGGTTACGTCTTTTGACAAAGCACTCCCTTACAAAATGAGCAAATTGTCATGAAAGGCAGGGTAGGTAAGAGTACAACAACATTAGACCTAGCCCGGGCCTCGTTTCTTATCTGACATGTGTTATGGCCCGGCTAGGTCTAACCTCCATGACCATTTTGCCTTTGATGCGTTAATTTAATCGTTCAGCAGGTTTGGACAAGCGGAACTAATTGAACCCTGAAAACATGGCAATATTACACAAAGAATGTGATTCAAGCATGCATACATACCTTATAAACACATACACCCCGTCCCGTATCCCCCTTAGACCCTATTGGTGCATAATTACGAAAATATTGGAGACAGGTTTGGAATATGACGAAAATGTCGGTCAGTTTCGGTAACATCGAAATTGCAAATCGTTTCAGGAATTAACCGTCATCACGGCACTGCATTAACGAACAGTTGGTTTGCAATTAATAACTATTTTGCGTGTATATACGCGCTATATAAATTAATCAAAGATACCTGTTATTAGAGGTGTCAAGTATTAACCGGTTAACCGGTTAACCGCCGATAATGCCTTGACCGGTCTGAGTTTTTATGGGCGGTTAGTTGACCGTGTATAATTCTGTTATTTCCCGCGCTTATTTTGCATGCTAATCCGTTTGGTTTTATGGTGTCAGTTTCACGTAAGCTACTCATACATGTCATAAGTCCCATAACTCCTTACAAACATCCAATCAGCAACTTTAATCCCTGCCACATTGCTTTCCCGCGCTTACTTTGCATTTTAATCTGTTTGTTTTTCAAGCGTCAGTTTCATGTGAGCTACTCATACATGTGATAGGTCCGATAATTCCTTACAAACATCCAATCAGCAACTTTAATCTCTGCCACATTGCTTTCCCGCGCTTACTTACATAGAATAGAGTAAAGCTTGACGAACGTAAAAAATAAACGCCGATATATCATTTTTCCAATTTTTTTCAACTTTCAAGATCGAAGATGAAGATTTCATTTGAAATTATAAATTTCCCGCCGGTTAACTGACTTTAACCGGTAAAAACCCCCGGTTAACCGGTTAATGCTCAAGCGGTTAATTGACACCACTACCTGTTATCCTCAAAATTGATCTTTTTATCCCGAGTAATCGCGATAATAATTATCAATCTATTTGACAACAATTTCGTTTCGCTGGTAGTTTAATTTTACGATCCGGGACACTCAGACGAACAGACACAATGACGGACATGCGGAAATGTCACTGTAGCCTCATTTTACTCGTATAAATGAACATTTAACACAATAATATTGTGTTAAATCGCTTGATGTTATGTGTTTTTATATTATTGTCAAGTATCAGTTGCACGTTATCGCGGAAAAATGGTTTCGATGGATTCAGAACTTGCATCAAAGGAAAGAATAGTAAGGAGGTTAAACTCAATAATGGCCCCAAGGAAATTCCTAATAATAAAGAACGCCGTTATTGAGTTTAACGACGTTGAACTAGGCAGGTAATAATAGGTGTCTCATTGTAAATGTAACATATAGTCCATGGTATGACTTCCGAATATGAAGGATCCGTAGCACACTATAGCGCAGCAACATTTGAAGCAATATTTATGAAGGTGTATATGTCTTGATTCTTTTAAAATACGATTTGCTGAAAAAACTTCCGGCTTTCGGGTCGAAAAACGTATTTCATCACAATGGTTCAAAAACGTAAATATTTTGATTCGAACTTTTATACATTTTATAAGACACAGACTGTTATTCTAAGCATACGAACAAAAAATTGAATATCATAATGTCAAAATTACTATGATTTTACTGTAGATGTCGGTGTTTAATTAGTGTAATTACACAAGTGTGTTTTTCAGATTTTGTTTGATTTTTCAAATATGAGCTAAGCCGATTCAACAAAATTGTATGGAATATTTAGGTAATTTTTTTTTGTTTGGGAACGTATTAGTTTTCTTACCAGTTAAAACATTTTATTACCAGAATTTTTCCATATAATCGTAAAGGGTCTAACAACAAATTATTGTCGATGTTTTATAAAACATAATACAATAACAAATAGGTAAGATTCATATCTAATTCGATGTTACAGAGTTATTTGCATGTTCATATATTCCAAGGGCATGTCTAATAATCAATTAGAGTCATATGCAGTCGAACGCCTTAAAATTCTTCCTCGACGTTAGTTGTGGCTATCATCAAGTTTTCTGATGGTTGTTTCTTCTTTGACCTTACCGAAGGATATAATCAAATTTTAGGAAGATAATGATGACGATTTTTCTCAATTGTTCATGAATTCGACCAAGTCTTGATGGTTGTTTCATAAGCAACTGAGCTATATCTAACTACGAGAAATAAAATTTTAGCTGTAGTCGCAATTAGTCAAGGAAGAGCAATAGGCCCACCTTTAATGATAATGTTCACCGCTGAATAAAAGTTCATATCTTAAAACGTATTGAGACCCATTTTGTGAAAACCTAGCATAATTTAAGCATTTGTCATCCTAATATAAAAGTGATTCATTTGTAGCATTTATCTTATTAATACCCGTGAAACAATACAAAATGTCGATACACTGATGACATAATCTTTTGGTATTGATAAGAAAAATAACCTCAAACTTTTAGCTTAGAAACCTAAATCATATACATAAAATCATATTTTATTATTTGCTATTGCATTGTGTACTCCAAATTGTGAAAGTTTGGAAGTTTATTTTTTGGAAATTTTTTGACCTCTGTTAATGGCAGGCATAATTCAGCCTTAAAGCCGGAAGTATATTAAACGGTTATAATAAAAATTATTAGGGGACATATGTAGGTATGCTAAATTAGGTCAAATATCGCTGCGCTATAGTGTGCTACCAGCTCCTTTATTAGACGTCCTAGAGATTTCATACCATGGACTAATATCCAACCTACTATTCACAAATTGTAATGTAGGACATTCAGTTGCAATTTTTTCGTACTAGTGTGACAGCATACTTGCTATGTCATATGTACTCCACTGCATCGTTCTTACTCGTTATACAGTGCGTATAAAAAAAACCAACAGATTGTTATCTCGGAAAAGCACAAAACCAGTGATAACAGCATTGATTTCATTCAATGCACCATAAAGCCATGCGTCTCTTCCTTACAATGATATATCATTCATTGATATTTGGTGATGGTTGGGTGAGTAATCATTCCATTTGCAAAGTCGGCCAAAATAGCTTTGGACCAAGTTATAAACATAGCAAAAGTCAGTGTACGGAGCACGATGCAATATTGGAAGAAAACATAAAACCAATGCTGACTGCATCCTTTTCATTCAATGTACCAAAAAGCCAAATTACTCCTCTTTGTAATGGAATATCATTCATTCACAGGGAGTCATGGCTGGCAAAAAAAGTGGGGCAAAATTCAGCTCGGACTCAAGTTTCAAACATTGCAAAAGTCAGTACAAGGGGCATAGGGGCAAATGGAAGAAGGTGTGACAGGTGTGGCATAGACAGTAAAGTGTTCATACTCATACTCTTGCAAAAATACATCCTATACCCCTCCAAATTGCCACCACTTCCTTGCACATAAAGATGCACTCATCTGTCCACGTCATCATGCATGGTTCAGCCCTGAGTCATCTGTGGGTTAAAGCAGAGAAATGCAGCCCTCTGGCAATTCTTTCTCGAGGTTTTGCAATATCTGGTGAAAGAATGGTGAGCACAGATGCTCCTGAGCTCCGAAAGAAAAGGTCACAACAATTCAAGCCAGGGGAACTTCCATTGGCACTTAGCCCTTGCACTGATTTTTGCATTATCTAAAACTTGGCCCAGAGCCGATTTTGACCCACTGTGCAAATGGAAGGATTTCTCACCCAACCATTACCACATGTGAATTTTCTACAATGTCTGTTTGTTTGAAACATATTGATCATATATATCACCATATATACTTTTTTGATCTACATGAAGATTTTAGTGTGACAAGACCCTTTTACCCTGGAGTTCCTAATCTCATTGCACGAACGGGAGTTTCTAGGCCCAGCGGGGTATGATCCTTATAATCCTTTCCAAAGAAAAGGAAAGGAGCCAGTGAAAAGATTAAACGTAATACCATATCTGGTGATTTTAAAGACGGCGGAATTCGAATGTTAAATTTGACTTCAATGGAAAAAGCTTTAAAAATTATGTGGATAAAACGCTTCTTTGACATATCCAAAAGTCATTGGAAGGTTATCCCTGCAATTTACTTTGCACAGTTCGGAGGCTTAAATTTTATCTTGCAATGTCGCTATGATGTCCGGTATTTCAAATATCCCATTCCGGAGTTTTATAAGGACATGCTTCGGTATTATTCTTCAGTCAATGAATGTGATGACCCACGGAATAGTGCTGAAGTTAAGAACGAATTTTTGTGGAATAACAAGAATATACCTTTACCATGCTGCCTTATTTCAGCAAATATATCCCACGCAACTGGCTTATTTTTCAAAGAGTGCAAAAAATGATATAATAATTAATATCTCAATAACTACTGAATGAATCTGGATAAAATTTTCACAAAGGGAAGATACAGTGGCCTGGCTCATGAAAAAAATGTTCTCATGAATTTTTTCGTACATTAACACGACTGGGCATAAATATACCATGAATACTCCTCCGGAATCCGCCGCTCCGCCTCTTCGTCTGGTCAGAATCCAAATCTGAATTTGCAGCGATCGAATGTTCAATTTTTCAATTCAGAAAATATTCTAGTTTCTATTTTCGATGACCGTTATCGGCTTCCAAGAGCCTAAAGAGCTCGAAATCGTAATTCATTTCCTCCACATTTTCGTTGTGATCGTATTTGTCCACCATTTTGTACGATTCGTTCACTAAAAACGACTAAAACACTGTTTAAATTGTTGAATTGAGAATTATTTTTCGAAATATCGCCATTCTAGGTCAACAGGAAGTCATGTTAGGCACTGAATAAATCGGGCAATCTAATTGGACAATACGAATGGCGCGAA